TGTGCAAGACACGAGAAGTCATTCTTCCGCTCTACTCTGCGCTGGTTAGGCCTCAGTTGGAGTATTGTGTCCAGTTTTAGGCACCGCATTTCAAGAAAGATGCGGAGAAACTGGAGAGGGTCCAGAGAAGAGCAACAAGAATGATTAACGGTCTAGAGAATATGACCTATGAAGGAATGCTGAAAGAATTGGGTTTGTTTAGTCTGGAAAAGAGAAGATTGAGGGAGGACCTGAAAAATGCTATCATGTATCTAAAAGGGGGTCACAAGGAGGAGGGAGAAAACTTGTTCATGTTGGCCTCTGAGGATAGAACAAGAAGCAATGGGCTTAAACTGCAACAAGGGAGGTTTAGGTTGGACATTAGGAAAAGTTCCTAACTGTCAGGGTAGTCAGACACTGGAATAAATTGCCCAGGGATGTTGTGGAATCCCCATCTCTGGAGATATTTAAGAGTAGGTTAGATAAATGTCTATTAGGGATGGTCTAGACAGTATTTGGTCCTGCCATGATGGCAGGGGACTGGACTTGATGGCCTCTCGAGGTCCCTTCCAGTCCTAGTATTCTATGATTCTATGAAATTGTTAGTGCGTTCCATAGTCTATGGCAGTGGTTTTCAAGGCACAGGTGGTGACCCAGTACTGGGTCATGGAATGTAAGTCACTGAGCCACAGGGATGTTAAACTGCATTTAATCAACTAACCGACTGGACGATGGAATTTCCATTGACTAGTCAACCAGTCACTAAGGGGGGGGAACTACAAAGCCACAGAGGGGTTAGCTTCCAGCCCCAGGAGCTAACCCTGCTGTGGCTCTGCCTTTTACATGTATTAGGAGCCGCCAGGGTCACTTTGCTCAGCCCCCAGGGACCTGGTGGTTCTGGTCAGCACTGCTGACCAGGCCATTAGAAGTCCCATCAGTGGTACTTCCTGGCTAAGGCTGGGTCGTGAACCACTCTTTGAAAACCACTCAGTTAGATCCAATATGTTCTAACACCATGCTGCACCCCAAAAGTGACAGCAGCAGGTCCAGCTCCTAGGCAGGGGAGCACGGGGCTCTACACACTGCCATTACCACCGGCTCTGCACATCCATTGGACAGGAACTAGGAGTCAGACCAGGTGCTGGCCACTTTGGGGGTGCAGTGTGGTCTGCAATGCCAAGAGAGGCAGGAAGGCTGCATTGGACCCCTGCTGTGCCAGAGGTAAGCCTATGCCCCAGACCCCATCCCAGAGCCTGAACCCTCAGCCCTGACCCCTCCCATACCTCATGCCCTAGCCCAGAGCCCCTCATTCCCAGCTCCATCCTGTAGCCTTCATCCACACAACCCCAACTCTCTGCCTCCACCCCCTCCTAGCTCCCACACTCCAACCCCCAGATATGTTGGATCACAGGCATTAACCATTTTCTTCAACTGGGTCACCAGAAAAAAAAATTGAAAGGTACTGGCCTAGAAGACTGCTGGATTCCTTGCTAAATGACATCCATAAGTAGCACAGGCTACGATCATCATGGCTAGGAGACCCTGCCCCATAAAGGCAGAGAATGACCTGCCTTGGTTATACATAGTTCATCATCGTTGTCGTCCCCCCTCCCCAGCTAGGGATGTTAAGAAGTGTGTAATTTGTTAATCATGTAGTCAACAAATATTTTCATAAAATGATAGAATACTAGAACTGAAGGGGACCTCAAGAAATCATCAAGTCCAGTCCCCTGCCCTCATGGCAGAACCAAACACAGTTTATATCATCCCTGATAAATGTCTGTTTAACCTGCTCTTAAATATCTCCAGTGAGGGAGATTCTACAACCATCCTAGACAATTTATTCCAGTGTTTAATCACTCTGGCAGTTAGGAACTTTTTCCTAATGTCCAACCTAAACCTCCCTTGCTGCAGTTTAAGCCCATTGCTTCTTGTACTAACCTCAGAACCCAAGGAGAACAATTCTCTCCCCTCCTCTGTGTGACATTCTTTTAGATAGCTGAAAACCGCTATCATGTCCCCCTCAGTCTTCTCTTTTCCAAAGAATGTTGTTGATTACATGATTAATCGATTAGGGTTAGCACTGCAAGCACTAAGACCCAGCTTATGCCAGGTCCCGGTAACTACCCCCACTGCGGCTCTGCAAATCCTGTGCATACAGAACCACAGTGGGGGTAGCTACTGAATCCAGAATGAGCTGGGACTGAGCCAGCGTGACTGCCCACAAGCTCTGAAAATACTTCAAATGCAAAGCATCTGCTTATCATTTAATCGTTTAACTGGCATTACTATATTCCTAATTACAGCAACACCACACGCTCGGGCACTCCAGGCAGGTCAGCCTCTTGCAGCACATTTTCCCAGCATGCATGGTTCTTCCCAGCACATCCCACCTGTCCACCACCCTCTGAGATGGCTGCCCAAAAGCATCACAGCAGGTTTGAGACTTCTCAGTCCTTCCCTACGAAGCCCAGGCCCAGCAGCCGAAGGCCAGGTCTACATTGAACCTTTTAGCGGTCTAGCAACACTGGTAAGCAGTGTCTTTGAGCTGTCCGCCTATGCCAGCCCAAGCCCCGTATAGGCCCAGACACATTGCGCTTTTGCCACAAGAGCTCATTGTACCAGAGCACAGCCAGGGCAGGGGAACAGAGGGGGGGGGGCAACTGCAGGGAGGGTTAGGGTTCACAATGGGGAAGTCCAGCATAACTTGTCCGCTGGGTAAGGCCTCTCCCAGCAGGTCCCATGCCTGGCACAGCTGTAGCTGGGCAGCAAGAGGCTGGGCCCAGGCCTCACCAATGACAAAGGCTTCCTTGAATGGTGTGCCTGTCTCGTTGTACCAGGGCGGCCGCCCTGCTGTATAGATGGTCCGTTTGCTGGTTCGCAGCAGCGGGGGCCCTGCCTTCGACTGGCTCGTGTGGGTAAGGCCTCTCCCAGCAGGTCCCATGCCTGGCACAGCTGTAGCTGGGCAGCAAGAGGCTGGGCCCAGGCCTCACCAATGACAAAGGCTTCCTTGAATGGTGTGCCTGTCTCGTTGTACCAGGGCGGCCGCCCTGCTGTATAGATGGTCCGTTTGCTGGTTCGCAGCAGCGGGGGCCCTGCCTTCGACTGGCTCGTGGTCCGCTTGCGTGGGGACAGCGCA